GAAATGGAGTGAAAGCTAGCATATAGACTGAACATGATACTGATTCAGGGACAACCATCACTGAGCGCATTCGAGCAACGTCAACGTCGTCTGACCAAATCAACCGGTATTTCGTGTCTGTTCACAGTGCTCCTTTATGTGCTGCCAATATGTCTATATTCAGCGTTCGGCAGTTCATCAAATCAACAGCTAGTGAACATTCTAGCCGTATACACAGGAATCAGCACAAACTTAATCCCGTTAAGTAATATATTTGTGCTAACGACCAAGCATACTGATATCAAAGAACAACTTCTTCGAATGATACCATTCCACTTCAACAAATCAGCTGTTCATCATCAAATTCCTCTTTCACAACAAGGTTTCTTCAAACGTCTTTCAGTGTCGACGCAGTCGTCAACAATGTGGCGAAAAACACAGCCGCGGAATTTCCCTCCCTGAATACTTGTATTTACTGAAGTTGTATTGATCAAATGACAAAATTGATTGTGATCATCCTCAATGAAAACAAACTTAATATTGTCTCTCTGATATATTCACGGTACTGGAGAGTTCTGAGAGCGTTTGGTGTTTCTTGAACTCGCTCAAAAAACCACTGGGAAGGAGAAGAGAGGAGGAAGAAATGCAGTGAAAGCTAGCATAGAGACTGAACGTAATACTGATTCAGGGACAACCATGATGGATGGCTTAAGACCAATTTTAAGTTCATTTCGAATCTTAATTATGAGCTTCTTCACGTCAAGCGTTTATTGAGATGATGCCATTCCGTCAATCTGTTCACAGAATCAGGAAATATTACCAAAATGAATGGCAATTTGTTACTTCAGAATTGTTATGCAGTTATTTGATTATTATCAGGATTTGTACTCATTCATTTTGCAATGTATTCATTTGGTTTTGTTCGTTTGCAGTCTATCCTATTGTCCGACCAAATCAATCGCTATTTCGTATCTGTTCACATTACTCCACTGAAAAAAAAGCACTGAAACCAGACAATAGATGTCGTTCGAATGAATTTACTCGTTATGTTTCTTGCTTCAATAAGTTTTCATTCAGAAAATATCATGCATCATATTTGTAGCGAGTGGCTGAACATTTGATTGGAACACTGTGTTAATCAACATTTTATTTCAGAGAATCATGAACAACTCTTTCAAATAGATTCAGCAAATTTGTGTTGAACGAACAGAGAATCGCTGAGATTGTTTTTCGTGAAACGTTCACTTCATGAGAAACAAGTACATAGAAACGACACAATTCGCAGCAATTCGTTGAACAATCATCGGCTGTATTCTTTTCTCATCACATAAATTTCTCATCACATAAAAAGTACTGAAAATTTTCAGTTAAACATAACGAAGCCGTGTAACGTGTGAAGCTCTCATGTACAAATAAAAGCAATTACAATGACGAATATTGACATAACGTTGCGATATTATGGCGTTGACAACAGATTATGCGAATCTAATCTTAATATTTTCGCGATCAGTTCCTTGTTTCGCTTTGTTTTGACGTGAAAATCTCTCACAATCAAAAATCAGAGATTACGACAGAGACTTGAGAATAATGATATTGTTGAATGGCCAAACACTTCTACAATGGAGACTCGCTTCACCACCATTTGTGGTTAGGAGAAAAATTTTCAGCACAATTTTGCTTTGGTTTGCGACCACTTAAAATCAAGTCTGTAGGAGTTTGCGCCATATTCTCAAGCTGAATTAGGCCCATAGGAACACTCATGCTACACTTTCGATCGCTTCTTAGTAGTCTTCGGTATAGTGAACAGCAGTCATTTGGTAACTCACTATCAGATATTTTGACGTTTGACATATACGGTGTTCAGTGATTATCATCACCTAAAGTAGCGCTTCTCTACTCTACCGGGAGGAAGATGTATATGGTGTTCTTGGAAGGGGATTTGATGTTTCTGCAACGGTTGTGAAAAGCTTTTCGCTTCAATTAGAAAGTTGAGATTAGAAGTGTATATCGAGTTGGTTCCATCAAAAGAGTCGTCGATGATAGAAGAAAATAGTGAATCGTAACCATATTGTTGTGGGAAATTTGCGAGGACGTTGAATACTGGCGATGGGATAATCACTCGAATCATTGCTTCTGAGATTATCAGAGGGAACAACTCGAATTCCGTGTAAACTTAAATTCTGTTCTTACTTCTTATATGTCTCTCATCAAATTTTCACGCTATCAATGAATATTTACGGTGAAGACAGTATGGTCAGCTGGTATGAGCTGTGTTCATCATCACAGAACAATATACTTCGGTTTTTACATAACCGACAAAAAATGTTACTGTAAAAGTATTCGAGCTAAACACTGCAGCTAAAAGAGCATTCGAGAAAAAAAAAATAACAAAATTGATTTAAATCATTTCACTTTATGTGCGCAATTTTAAATTTGAAAGAAATTCATTTAGTTACAATGTTGGCCATCGTTTGGGTATTTTTCAGCTTTGAGCAGCAAGTGAAGCACGATTAACTATTTTACTTGCGACATTAACTAGTTTGGTTGCATTAATGGAACTAACTTGAGCTTTTGGCAGAAATTTTGCGCAAAAACACGGCGCTGTTGGGTCGATAAGACGACATCGAATCTCGCGGTGTCTCAGGAACACAATCGCAAAATTCGTTAGTGGTGTTAAATTACAACTAATCGCTATAAACGCCAAGCAAATTTGTTGTGAGCCAGAGTTCAGATTATTCACTACCGCATATTTTAAGCATAGCGGTAATACGTATAGAATCAACGTGAATGCACACGATATGCCCATTGTGGCGGTTAATTGACGCTGTTGATTATTGAATGCTTGCAGTGAACTCTGATTCTGAATGAAAGCCGATTAGGTGTTGAATCATGGACAGAACAGTCCGATTACTAGTTACTTCCCGAACACCTTTTGCGATGGCATCCTTGTTATCAGAACGAGGCTCAAATCTTCGTTGATGTGCGATAGAAATAAGAATTTTCATCCAAATAATTCATCATGTAAAAGAAGAGAATTCGGGCCATTTCGGGTGTGCTTCTTGTTCTTTTTTTTTCTGTATCTCAGGATGATAATAATATCCCAAAAACGAAATGATAGAAAGTTCTTGCCGCGGATATTCCAGATACGTTTTTAATGAAAAAGATGAATCTTACCGTCTGATGATTACGACGAAGGCCACTGGCGTGCTTTCTTGATAGAAGGAAAACAAAGAAGTAGAGAATGACGCTGCTCACTGACGTGATTATCTCGACCAACAGAGTAAGCTTGTTGAAGACAGGCAGCATAGCATCCGACGTCCTGCAATTTATGTATGTTCATGGATGGAGAGCATCAAACTCCAATCATCCATCATGCAAAATTCAACAAAACTGCAATGAATTAAGCCCACCACTTCAATGTAAACAATTGCACTTTCAATTGAACTGTTTTTCAAACTCCTCAAGCGAGCTGAACTAGTGCTCGTCGGTGAGCAGATTTTCGCACGGGGGGGGGGACCCCACGGGAGAAAAATGGACGGGAGGGGGTCCCCACGAAAAAGTCGGGGAACAAATTGCGCGGGCGAGCGCTCCCGGCGTTCCTCGCCGGGGTCCCCGACGGGAGCCCATTCCCCGACGTACACTAGACTGAACCACTCTATTCTGTCTTGCATGTACACACGACAAGTACGAGTGTTATGTGTTATGACAATCAATACCGTAATAGTTAAGTAGCTAATCCATCACTGTCTTATTACACTTTGACGGTTAATGCCGCGATCAACAAAAATCAACTATTGTCCCTAAGAGATAATCCTGCAGAATATTTGAATTCGCTGCTCCAACGGCCAAGTGT